AGTTCCAGTTCCTGTCTGTTCTTTATTGGACACAGTGTTTTCTTTCTTAGGGTAAAATCATGCTAAACTTTTAGCTTTTCATTCATGAGTAAATTGTTAATTTGGCCTAATCTCTTATATAAGGACAGCTGAGTTATTTGTTCAGGACAGGGAGATGAGCTGAGGGCTGTTGACCAAGATGCTTTCCCACAGAGCAAGGAGCCCAAACTTTTCTCTTGCTAGCCTTGCAGTGTTCTGCAAGACAGGGATATCAGAGCTGCTGTCTTCTGTGCCACTCCCTTTAGCAGAAAATGTAGCCCTGGCATACAATGTTTTAGGCTCATCTCACTGTAGGGCTTACCATCCTGGTTTCCTCTGTTTATAATGTGTCACCAAGTTTAGGAACATTTTTCCTTTGTTTTTTGGTGACTGAATTTTGTTTATGGATCCTAAGATGATTTGCATTTCAGTGTTCTTTCTTCAACCTTTATATTCATGAGGGCTGTGGAAGATCATTGTGGGACACTTCCCTAACATGCCCAAGAACACAGGTTTAAATCTACAATTCCTCCTCTGGTGGACATCTGCTCCCAGCTAGGGTCTTCTCTGTTCCCAGTGGTGGCCTGAGTCTCTCCTCTGCATATGCCACAGCAAGGAGTTTTGAGGAGTTAATGTTGTGAAAGTATCTTCAGATGTTCATGTTTGTGAACTGAGAGAAGAAATCTGTTAAAGATCAACTCTCCATTACCCAGCAGTAACCAGTTTCCAGTAGTTCCTTTTGTAAAGCTGAGACCTGCTGACATTTCTGCAATTCTGTTGGTTTTGCTCTGATGAGTTTGCATAGGTCCTGTGCATGGTTTCACTATTGCTGCAAGTTCACATGTCCAAATTCCCAGTAGCCTGAATAGCAATTTATCTAGGACAAATAGGAAAGCTGTTCCCAGCCTATTTTCTACCATTTCAGTTTAAATATGATATATATTGGTCTGTTTTTTCTGTGTATTTATGTTATTAAACATGAAGTGCTGAGCATATTTTCTCTTTCCTCTATTTAAAGTTTTCAAAATGCATTACTTAAAATCTGCTAAAAGTATTATTATTGGAAGGCTAGTGTACACTGTCGCTGACATACCACAGAAATAAGTATATTGAAATACTCTTTTCTACTGTACAAACAACATTAGGAAAATTCCTCTCTGTTCCATAGGTAAACATCCCTGGAGAATCTTCAGTGAAGTAAGCAGACTGGACATGAACCAAGAGGACTATCATTTGGAGGCTGAGGGTGAGGGGTCAGGCAGACCAAGACTGGTGGAGTCCACATGCACAGAATAGGGATAGAATTACCCCTGCCAAGCAGGAAACGTTTTGTTAGAAACATTTTCTGTGATGCGGTACAACATGGTCACTTGAAAATTGTGACCTACATTCACAACATCAGATCTGTTTCCGCAGCTGAGGGTCCTGTGCTTGTCTCAATCCTGTGGGCTTAACAAATTCTCATTCCCTCAGCAAGAGAGCTAAATGCACATTAATTCATCCAGAGAGGAAAAGTCGGTTTCTGAATACTGAGCATCCACTGAAGGGCAGAAAACCTGTCCCTGTAGGTAGTAGGAGGGGCAGTCATGAGTGACAGAAGCAAGGTGAGGTGCTGTCCTGTTCCACCCAGGCTGAGACCAGATCTCCCCTTGATCTCTTCAAAAAAGAGCTTGAGATCTGGCAGAATTTAGAGAGTGGAGAGGGGGGATTTTTTTTCTCTTGGCATGATACAGTTTGAACTCGTGTCACAGGATCATCAGCAAACACCCCATCCTAAGGAACAGGTGTATCAGGCTTCTCTTGAGACACAGAACACACAGGATGAATTCATGTTAAAAGAGGATTTATTAGAGTGGCTTACATGATACAGGCTGGTTGTCCAGTAATGCCATCTTCACAATAGAGAGGATAAGAAACCATTGGCTGCTCAGCCTATGAGGGTAGAAGCCTCAGTCATCCCAACTTAGCACTGACATCCTGGAGGATTCTCGGGGAGTCACTGGTTTATGACGAAATCCTGAAGAAGTGAGATG